AAGAGCAGATTGAAGCAGAGCCCCGTCTCACACCAACATCAACATAGGCATGCAAGTGTCAGGGCAGCTACAGTGCACTGCTTTAACATTTAGAAAATGACTAAGGCTACCCTTCCCTCAGCTGTAGTCAGCCAGTTTGTGAGCCTCTGTTGGGAGAATCCCAAGCTTGAATCCATGACATTTTGATCATAGAGGTCAACCTGTACTTAGACACCTTTTACAGTTGAGCCACTCAGGAGGCATCTAAAGATGTCTCTAATTCTCCTCTCTGTATGTAAAGTAGGATAAACCAATTGGACAACTGTTTCACCCTTAGTAGGGCCCTTATCAGTGTGCCATAGCTATAGGTTGATCAGTGAAAATAGTTCTGCTTTACACTGTTGAACTATAAAACTTGTTCCTGCACAGCAGGGAGAGAGACTTACTCTGCAATGAAGTTCTGCTACAGTTGCTAATGGAGTTCTGGCAGCCTAACACCTTACTTCTTATCATGGAGCTTTAGAATTTGGACATAGTATCGTTTTTTTTTTGTTTCAACATTATCCTTTTTCTGCATTAAAAGACTATAGCTACTGTAATTTTGCAACATGTAAGTAGTTAAGTTAATGTCTTTTCATTTTCAACTACAGAGCTTTTAAGAAGCTATTTATTATTAATGTATTATCAAATGCAAGACTTTATATACATTATTTTACATGCAATATAACTCCCACAGACTTCAACATGGGAAAAACCCAGAAGCCATGTGGGTGGGACCAGGTTTAGTCTCAGGCTCTTCTGGGAGCTCACTGATGCTTAAAAATAGAGAAGACCTGCTCATGGCTAGATATTATTTCTTGATGAGTCTATTGGAAAAGTATGTTATTCATTAATCTGCTAAACCATTTGTTTTGTTTATTCTTTTACCAAATTACTAAGTTACTAAAAGTTTTTCCTTCATTTCCTGGCTCATGTCTTAAAACACCCACACAGAAATGCTCATAGGCTACAAGATTATGTCCAATATTTGCCAAGATGGAGAGGTAATCCCATCTTTACTCTCATATTTAAAATGTCATATTGCTGAACCAAAAGATGTTTTGTTGTAACATAGAACTAAAGGACAAGTAAATAATGGTGTAAGTGTAAGTGTCTGTGTGTTCCCTGTGATGGACTGGTGTCCAGTCCAAGGTATATTCTGCTTTGTGCCCATTGCTTGCTGGAATAGGATCCAGTTAAATAAAAGAAGGAGTATAACGAATTGAACGCACAGGTAAAAGGATATTAGAAAGGCCAAGAGAGAAATTGAAAGTAATATTGCAGTGGAGGCTAAAATAAATAATTAAAGTACTTTCAGTGCTATAACAACAAATGAACTGTTAAAGATTCATCAAAATATATCCGGTACAATAACAGGAAAGATCTGTAAAGTCAAATAAAAAAGGCTGATGTACAGTACTATATGAGTATTTCCCTCAGGGGTTCACTAGGGAAGAAGTCAATAATGTACATCAGGCGTCAGAAGGAAAAAGTTCTGTATTAAATAGCATCAGCATAGAAGAGGCATACAGTAAGTGTTTCAGTTACAAGAAGGACTCAAGATTAACAAATCCTTAAGGCCCAACAGTAACACACCATTTTTACTTTGTGAAACAAGAAGTGTTATCCAGAAGCTATTGGCATACCCTTTCCTACAATTACTCAAAACAGGGGTCATACCTTTTGACTGCAAAATTGCTAATGTAGTGCCGATCCATAAGAAGGATGAAAAAAATAGTAATCGTAGATCAATAATGCTGAGTTCTATAAAATGTAAGGTTATGAAAACAGTTATTAATACCAAATTAGAGGAATGCCAACCTGTACAGTATATGTAAATCAAATACTAGAGAGAATAGTCAATAGGGATTTTGAAAAGATAGATTTTGCCTAACCAACTTGTTAGCATTCTTTGAACAAACAATAGGACTAAAGGATACAAATGGAGGAAAAAATTACATTGATTTCGATTTTCAAAATGCTTTTGATAGTAAACTTTTTAGATAAAAACAAGTAGGAAAATTAGCAAATGTTGGACAAGCAGCAAGTGAATCAACAGCAACAAAAATATTTGGATAAAATTCAAGACTGGGTAGACACCTGGCAGATGTTGTTTCATGTAGACAAATGCAGGGTTTTGCACGCAAGTATCTAAAACAATAATTACATATAGACTTAGAGTTCACTACCAACACATTGTCATCTTACATGACATAACCAAATATACTTAAAAGTCTAGATTTTATCAAGGGATGCTATTGTATGCTGAAATAGTATAATGGTGTAATAGTATAATGTGCTAGAAAGCCCTCACTTAGTATATTGTGTACAATTGTAGTCTTCATGTAATAGACACTATATCTCTACTCTGCAGTCAGAAAAAAAACATTCTAGGACTTAAGGGAATTTGCTACACTGGCAGGCTAATGGAACTAAACATTTTTAATCTGGAACAGAGAAGATTGCAAGGAGACTTGATACATGTATTGAAAATCCTCAAGGGCAATGACAAAGTCAACCTATTTCTTCAAAATGAACAGTGAAACACAAACCAGCGGGCGACAGTGAAAACTTCACGGAAGTGCATTTAAAACTGAGAACAGGGGTCTTTTCTTCACACAAAGGCTTGTGGAGGTAGAAAACAAACCACCCAGCTATATTGTTGAAGTTGATATGCAGGTTTCTTATACTCTTAAATTTGAATCTGGACTATGTTGTGACCCTGCAATTACCTGAATCGCCAATTGGTTATAACCTTGTTTGGGAGGGCTTTAGCCACTCATGAAAGATTGTTGCAGAGGTGTAATCTGTGTGGCTGACTTACAAGGATATCAACTGATATTGCATTATTCCAAACTCTGTTGTAGGCACTATTTAGCTCACCAATGGCTTAGCATTTTTTGGTGGAAGACCTACTGTATTTATCTTTATTCCCCTTTATGGGATAAGGGTCACAATATTAGGCTCAGTGTATTTACTGTAACAATCATCAATACATAATAGTTTTAGGGGATGCAAAATATTGATTTGAATGTAAAAATAATTGGTTTAAAAGAGGTATTAACACTTATCCTATATTAATGCAGTATGTAAAGCGCTACACTGAAGCCAAAACTGTTCCTAACCAGGGATAGTAAGGGGTCTTTTCTTCACATTCATTCGTACACATTCACTGGCCTAGAAACAATTAGCGACGAGTAAAATTGCTTGAGAAATAACAGAAAGGTTTGCATCACCTTCCCTGGCTAGAACAATCTCTAGATTTCAGTCCTATTAAAAACTAGTTCTACCAATAGACCATGCAAGACCAATTCCACACACCATTACCCTCATTTCCTCTGAAGACAGTCTTGCTGCAGAATGTCATAGGATTCGGTTCCAAAAATTTCACAATCTTGTGGTATACATTTTACATTTTGCTAAAGCTTTTGTAATTTCCAAACATATTATTCAGCACAGGTTCTGAATACTTTGTCCGGTAAGCATTTAGGCCCCTATCCAGGAATTATATCGATAGTACAGTGAAAAGGTTTTTCTGAAGACGCAATATTAGCAAAGGCTAATAAAATCTAAAAGCACTTTATTCATGTAAGCTAGTAGGTAAATGAAAGTCACCGGAAAAACATTCATGAACTTTAGTTCTCATCTGTTTAAAGTGGTTTCTTTCTAATATTCAAATTTGTTTAAAGCAGTGGCTGATATGACTAAATAAGCTTTAAAATGTAAGACAGCAATTCTTCCACTTTAAGAAAACAAATCAACACAGAATGCCACTGACTGTTCCTATTGAATGTTATAGAAGATTATATAGCTAAGGAGCAGAATAAATCAGTTAGTGCAATACATGTGGTATGGTAATTTAGGCCATTTATTGTTATTGCTTTCTTTATCAGTTTATGACTGGAAAAATGTGGAAGCTTGCCTTATATTCCCAAAGCGCAAGGCACAATCAACCAGATGTTACTCAGTATCTTTGTATAAACATTATAGTTTTTTTTTTATTGGAGATCTTTCAAAGACAGTTATCACTCCAATTGTCAAGGGAAAGCACTGCAAACGTTACTCAGCATGAAAAATATAGCATCAAGTATATGCCATTTACAGTAATTAATGAAACTATGGAAGCATTTAAATCTATTTTAAATTAAGTCTTGAGAAATTCTAGAGACTTTAAATTTCTTTCTGTGAGAGACTTGGAAAATGAGTGTGTTACAGGTTTTAGGATGAATAATACCATTGAAGAACACACTCTGTCATTCCCCTTATGGCAAAGGTATGAATGGTACAGCATACTGTAGGATTATACATTTTTTAAAGAAAATTCTGACAGATACAGATTTCTTTATCAATATTATATATTATCTACCTTTTCCTTTCCTTCCTGCTTACAAGAAAGTGTGACAATCTGTATGCCACTATCTACAACAAATTGCATAAAATGTTTATTCATAGTGAATTCCCTCAGAGAAATCCAAAACTATTTATTAGAAAGATTATTAACGGAAAACAATTCTGCATCTGAATGGTGTGTTTGGGCCTGTGTATTCTTCATTATATTATGTATGTATTCAACCACCCAATCTATCAGTAGCAGTAGTAATATTAAAACGAATGTTGTTAATAATGTTGTTAATAATAAAAGTATACAAAATGCAGGTGCCAATTCATAGTTCTCTAATAATTAGGACATATTCACCGCTAATAATTGGTAATTATAATTTAATATCAAGTAATAAGGAATAAATAATAAATAATAAAAACTGAAAATAGCTGTGATGCTGTAGGATAAATATTTAGCAACAGTACTGCCTACGAAAAATTTGGTAAGACAAAAGAAAAAAAGTAAACAATGCTATTGGCTTCTTTACATAGTTACAGTATCTCTTTGCCCTCTCTGTAATATTGGGGGGATATAGGGTTTCTCAACAGTTCCTATCAGTCCTTAACGAAGAAAAATAATCTGAATTTAAAAGATCACTCACCATAGCCATCTAGTTTTTGGTATCCCATCACATCATCTTTATGTGCCTCTGCTTCCAGTTTGGCCTTCTTTTCTTCCTCAAGCTTTCTGTGAAGGTTCTCAGACACCCTTCTTAAATCGTTGAGCTGGTTCTGTGAAATGACATGCATTCAATTCTGTAAATTACCTGTAATAGGATTCAAATTAGCCCAGTGTTGGTGAGGTTATCTGCTGTTATTGTTGTCTGTGTAAACATTGGCTCCTGTCTGTAACATGTAAAACGTTAAGTCAATTATAAAGCACATGACATAAAAATTGTGTTCAATATGTTTATTGAGAATCAACAAGAACAACTGCACTGCAATTATCTATAGAATTAACACATTTACCAACTGCTTTTTCTCATCAATGTAACCTCACAATCTCTACATGTAAATAAGTATGCTAAATACAGAGCTTTTAGTACAGATTTTTAATTCAAAAGCCTTAATGTACACGATTTCTGTTTCAAGTTCACAAAAAAAGCTGCAACAACATTTTTTATTTAGCCAATCATAGCTATCCTGAGGCTGATGAGGAATGATGGGAGACACAAAGATATACAGCATCTTCCCTGTAAAACTCCAGGCTTTCTATAAGAAGTCTATAAGAGATAATAGATTAGCTTGTTTTATACTCCTTCCAGGTAAACTCTCACACAATAGGCGTCTGAAATTCACTGACAGGAAAACAATAAAGCTCTGATACTGCAATGGACTGTCAAAATTGATTTTTTGTATTGTGAAGGAATATTTTGTATTTATAAAGGTTATTCCAAATACACATCTGTCCATAAATGGTTGTAAGGTATCGTGATTTACAGTGTTCCACAATACATCTCACATTAAACACATATTTTCTTTATAACAGAGTTACATGTAGCATTTACTAATTCCGCCAGACCATTAAGAACTGATAATTTATTCAAAGAGAAATGCAGTGCTGATTCCTAGCATTAGTATTTTTGACAATTCCACAGCCATATCAAGTCAACCTTCACGAAAAAGTTAACCTTTTTTTAAAAGATAATAAGCTATGTGACCCAACAGCAGAATCTGCAGTAGCATTCTGAAAGTAAATGGTACTTAAGTTGTGTTTCTTCAATAAAAGTCTACTGCAGGTAACAATACAATTGCCACGCTTTGATGAAAACATACTTTAGATTGCTGGCTTTCAGTAGTGGAAACCACTTTTTAGCTCATTCTTAGAACAGGCAGGGGGAATAGCAGTTATGGTCTAAGAGGCAAATAAACATAGGATACTGTAATGACAGCCAATTGAAACACATGGTGTCAAGCCGTGTTACTGCCATACACCTCAACAAAACAGCATATATAAATTCACCTCTCAGAAACCCATTTTGATAATGTAATGAGAGAATCTGTAAAAATGTAGTTTTGCAAAGGATGACTACCTTTCTGGGACACACTATCTGATATATTCTATGTTTATGTATTCAGTGGTAAAAATGATTAATTGTACCTATTATATGATAGTCATGCTTACTTTAATGTGTGAGGAAAAAAGGATTTTGTCATTTACACAGTGCCACACAGTGGCATAAAAACAGTTTCTATAGAAACATTTTAACTGCAGATCATTCTCATTTTGTAATTTCTCTTCTTCATTTCAACTCTAACCTCCTAAAAGTGTTTTGCTCTAAAGCTTGACACTTTGCAAGAGAGAATCAAACTGTGATTAGAAAATCCTTAACCTGTGTCATTAGGAGAAGTACTACATACTGTATGTATATTTTATTATACAATTAACATTTTTAAATATTAAATGTATACCTAAATCAGCATATTGACAGCTTCAACTTTTCTTATTGAGAGATGAGAAAAGATATAGAGGCATGATATCAAATAATTTATTTAACTTCTAACATCTGTGTATTTTCTTTATTCTATCTGTAAAGTACAAGGAACACTCATACATACATGCAGAGGGGAATTTAGAGGCAGCTGATGATCCAGTTATCATGGTTTGGGGAGGTGGGAGGTAACCAGAGTACCCAGACAAACCAAATGAAGACAACATGGATGAATAACCTTCACACAGAAAGAGTCCAGTGTCAAACTGAAACCAGGACTAACGAATTGATTGACAGCTGCCATGGTATGATCAACATACCATTATGTATAGCTTTTCACAGAATAAAACATAATCAGAATACTGAATATAAAAATATAAAATAAAATATAGAAACAAAATATAGAAAATATTGAATCAGAATTCAAGAAACAGACTGATGGCATAAAATAATTATGAATTCCTAAATGTGCACTGAGGACTACCCAGAGAAAGCCTAGCAAAATATGTCCTTTTTCACACTTTGATAAATTTCAGTTTTTATGAGAGGTAACAGTTTCTCTGTATTTTTCTTTTTTTAAGATATATTTCAATAAGACAGTCAGTGCCTCCATTTCATATGAAAGCATACAAATACTATATAGGAAGCATTTGGATGGATACCTTGTTGTGTATTGTGTATAATAATACATGTAATGTCATATGCCTTACCATACTATACTGAGGTTCCGTTGTCATGATGTAATTTGTGTTTGCAGCTGTACTAATCAGCTCTGTGGGACTCAACAGAGATACTGTACATTAGGTGTATTTATCCTGAACTTGTGTGAAACATTCTAATTTCACACAAGTGGACTCCATTCAACAAAATATATGCCTTCTAAGGACAATTCATTGTACAAGGGCCTATATAGGTATCTTAGAAATGGGGGTGAATACTTAAGCAATCAATTAATTAGTGTTTTATATTTAGAATTAATTTAGGAGGTTCTGTAGAATTTAGTTTTCACTTTGACGTTATAGAGTTTTTTACCCAAATAAACACATTGTGAGTCTACATCGTAACAGTAAATATGAAAAAGTATACTTATGATAGCCTTTGTATAATTCTACACTTCCCTCACTTCACTCTTTTCTTTCTTTCCAGAACAGACCGCTTCCACTTATATTACATTCTTCTCCATCATTATTTCTGTGATTCCAGTAACGTCATAATTACCTGCTAATGCGGTAGCTTCTATCTCATCTAATCTGTTTCTGATTCGCCAAGCATTTACTGTAGGCATAAAAACTTAATTATCTGATCATTATTTCTAGTTTAATTTTCTGCATTTATTTATGGATTCTTGCCCAAGACAGCTGGTGCCCATTGTGTAACTCATCATGTTTTCATTGATGGCCTTTATTCATAGGATACTTCCTGTGGCCCAGAAAGCAGAAGCCTTCTTCTGCACACCATGTCGTTATCCATGTGTTGTGTAGACAAATTAAGATTTGTAACTGTTCACGTCTGCCCTGTGTTGGTAGGATTCCTGAGGAAATGACTGATTTAGTCCCATTCTCTTTTTCTGGGAAAATTCTGGGAAAACTGGTAGGTGTGAGTCTGTGTGTCTCCCAGGGGCATCCCATCAAGGGTGTACCCTGTTTTACACCTTTGCTTGTTGAGATGGGCTCCAGCTCCTCCATGACCCTGAATGGATGGATTTCCCAGAAAACAATGTTACAGGAAGTCATCAGAATTCCAGAACTCAGTGACACAGTGGATAAAAACCTGCCCTGTAAATTACTACAGTCATGTACTCTAAACTGTGTCCTCAGATAAAATAACACTAGCAGATGCTGCTTTAGCAACTCTAGAAAATGTTAACATCCCTAAAAACTATACCAAACACGAGACCTTGGAATAGAAAATAACAGATCTCCAGCACAGAAAAATCTGCTATTTCAATCCTCACACAAACAGTAGAAAAAAAAGGAGTGAATATGACATTATTGGTAAAGATGTTTTGTGTGTTTATATGGATTACCTTCCCTCGGGACAGATTTTCAGAGAAGGGTTAACTAAATTGCTGTATTTGTTTGCCATTTTCTACATGGTTTATAAGAGGGAATACGATAAAGTAGACTATCATTATTAAGAATTAGTATCCTTACGATATCCTTACTTTTTTTCATTATGATACCAACTTAATGTGATTTCCAGAAACTCCCTAGCACTTTGAAAAAAGTGACTATGTGTTTTATGTCTAGGAGTTACCTACCATGCCAAACAAAAACCATATCTGAAATACCAATGAACAATCACACACAGAACACATTTAAGAGAAACAAGTCAGGAAAACAGCAGGAAAAGTCCAACTGATTTGAGCTACTCTTTGAAGAGTCTGTTTTAATTAAAACAGATTCAGAAAGATGACTTGCTCATCCTATAATAAGAATAGAAAAGAAGGGTTGAAAAGTAGGAAAAAAAGATTGCCATCATCTACCTGTTTCTCATGCCACATGTTAATTCCGTCCTTGATTAGCTGTTGCTTCAAGTGTAGTCCTTCATTCACACTTCTTATCTGATTTTCTACTTCAGCTCTTTGCCTCTGACCCAGTTTTCTAAAAGATACAATCTGTCATTACTGTTCTGTACATGAAATTGCAGGCAATCTTTCTCCTCACAGGAGGTTGCATTTCATTTAGGAGCCAGCTCCGAGCCATCGAAAAAATAAATTAAGAAAAGGAAGAGGATTCTGAACGTAAGCAATTTTTATAGCTATCAGAGAAAACAGTTCTTGTCAACGCATATGACAGCAATCAGGTACATTGTTTCTGAAGTAAAAGGTACAGGAAAACATCTGAAAAGTATTAAATTAGAGAACGGGGCCATATAAAAGATTAAGCTGACTTTAATTCAAGCAGGAGATAAAGTAACTTTCTGACATAATGGACTCTTTTGTTACCTTCAGATAATCATATTTTTTAGCTGATAGAATAGAAAAACAAAATCTGAATAAGAAATGATTAGTATTGCCTGTATTTACGTCATTTGAGTTTTAATACTGCAATGTCTAGATATCAGTGATTTTTAATTAAGCCTTGCAATACACCAACAATGTCTCCACACCTTTTCAAGATGTATTTCTCCATTGTACAAGTGTAAAAACAAAAGGCTGACTACACTATTCTGATTTTTAACTGTTGTAGAAGCAGGATATCGGAAATGTGCAAAATATTTTTTTTTTTATTCTTACATCTATACATTAAAACATTAACCTGATAACTATTCATCACAGTTTCAAAAGCATTTTTTTTTTTCATTTTTATAGTATGTCATTATTTCAAGGTTTGGTTGTTCTCAAACTCCTGGAATTATTTTAATTTAGTTTAGCACAGTCTCAACCTACTCTATATCTTGCAAAAGTGAGAAATGCTCTACATGCATCATCAGTCAGAGTTGTAATTCGACTGTAAGTTCGACTGAGCTCTGAATATAGATTTAAGTGCTAGAATCTTCAGATGAATCTTCCTTTCAAGAAAACTGTACTATAAAAAGTTAGATATACTTAACATCAGAATTACATTCCATAGAGGATATTTTCTCCTTTATAATATTATTTATCACACTTCTATAACCAATTTCCACTACTCCCAGTTACTCCCATATTATGCAACTGAATGCCAAAGGTACTGTATACTACGTTCTTCATATAATATTTGGGACTACAACTGGCATTAAGAAATGAAGCTTAATTCCTGTGTTATTAGTGGATATGCTGTTTTGTGTTAAAACCTTGATTGTTTAAACCATTTGTTAAATTAATATATGACAATGTTAAATGCTGTGTGTTGTTGTTGTTGTTGTTGTTGTTGTTGTTGTTGTTGTTGTTGTTGTTGTTGTTAAATAAGACTGTCTTTATTTGTTATTATGACTTAGATGAAGATCAGATCACATTTTAGGAGCCATTAATGCAGAAATCAAGATAATTCCAAAGGGTTCACAAACTTTATCTCAGAACTGTAAGAGAAAGCCAACTGCTCAATCTTGTTTCTCAGTAATTTAAAGATTAAAGTATATCACACTATCATGTCTTAAAAGATCCGAACATGATTAAGGTGTTTGTTCCAGACCCCTTAAATATTCTGAGTATTACACTTATATTCCTTGCTCCTTGTATTGAGCTGATGAGAACATCCTACTGAGTGGCTTTGACAAAAACAATTTTGCCAGTTTTATTTTAGGATTGTAAATGCCCCCATTGAGGCCTACAGTATGTAATCTTCTCTGCTT